CGGCAGTTGGTATTTTCTTTCGTCTCCACGGTTTAGGAGGCTGGTAATCTTGTTCCCTCTTTCGGTGGCTTCGTCACAGCGCCGTCATCGTCTGGAAGTCATCTGGGAGGTCCAGATGCCTGTTGAACGAGTTGACGTCTGAGTACCATGCCTCAAGCGTCAATCTTTCAGCTATTGAGGCTTCATTGCATATCGAAGCCATGGCCAGTGTCTCTGATATGTGTTGCAAGCTGTGAGTTAGGGACAGCTATCCCAGCTGTCCGAAACGGCAGCAAATCTACAAATGTATTCCGGTGAGCAGAAGATGAATTCTTATTCTTATCCCGGAATTCTGACTTTTTCAAATTTGAGGAGTAGATTTACCTCAGTGGCTTAGTGACATTAAGGCAATAGACATTGAAAAAAGAAGTCAGACAGTATTGTTTGCTATCCGCCACAGTACTTCCGTCCGTATGGTATGTGTGTGCATTCGGAACAAATGGCTGGTGGAAAAATAGTCCAACGTAGTGGCTACTTGTCACTTTTTTTCCGCTAAAACGTTCTGATAGACGCGCGATTTTCACCGCATACCCCTTTTTGTGTGAAAACTTGACATATTGCATGAGGACCAAGTCGTGTGTAGCAAACATAGGCGGAATGTTCACATGTGTAATCCACTGCCTCCAAGCGCGGTGAATTGGTGCACGCGGAAGAAGAAAATGAGTGAGATCTACTCTGGCAACTTCAGTTCCATAGTATTAACGCACATTCCTCATTATATAAAAAACCTGATGCACACTTAACCTATCAGGATGAAATAAATGGCGTAGTTTCGAAGCAGGTCATTTGAGAGGATTTTTATGATTCTCATTATGTAGTCATCTTTGCCCTTTAAGGGCGACAACATTTTCAATACAATCAAAAGGCGACTTTTACAACACGATTTCTTACTGTCAGCATTGTAAACGATTTTGCTGGCTCTAGACTGTTTTTATTCTGTTCCGTGAAAATTCATGCGAAATTCTGTCATGGTATCATATGTCCTCCACCAACTGCACATTAACTGTAAGAAGAAAATTGTATGCTCTACATTAATAGGGTCCTCAAGGGCATTTCTAGCCTGTAACCCTTAAATATACATATATACAAGAGACGACTTATTAATGTCGTTGAAGGGACATATTATGACGCTGAGCTTATAATTTACAATCCGGCAAAGCTCTTACCGATTCCTCGTGCGAAGGATGCCTTGCCGATGCATGCCACTTCAAACTGTGTTCATGAATTTACATGCACTTGCGGATGCAAGTACATAGGGCGAACGCAAAGGCAATTGGCCACCACAGCAAAGGAGCACTTACCCAGCTGGTTGCTTAAGCAAGAAAAACGAACTCCCCGCTCAACAATCACTGAACACCTGCTAGACACGGGCCATTCCGTGGACCCTAACACCTCCTTCCAAGTACTTGTTCAGGCACGAACATCTCGCACCTTACGCTACCTGGAGGCAGCCTACATAAGGCGGTTTAAACCCGACGTATGTAAACAATTGGAGCATGTAGTGAACCTAACTCTACCTTGTTAACACTGGCTCCTTATTTACACATTCCCCTCCCCAATTTTTCTTTCTTTTTTGCCTATACGTTTTTCACCAGTTTTTGCTGTCTACAGCGTCTAAATTTCAGCTTTATCGGTTGCCTCTTGGCCATTTACAGTGACTTTGCCGTTTTGTATCGATTTTTTCTGTATGAATTCAATTGTGTATTTTGTGTGACGTTCATTCACGTTATGCAATGAGAAGTAGCAACTGAAGAGCACTCTCGAAATTGATGGATCCATTAAATTTTGTTAACTTTTATTATTGTTT